GTCTGCATTCATCCGGTGATGTGTAGTAAAATACAGCAGCACTACTGAATCTACATTTTGCGACTTGCATTGCATTGAAGATACACGTTTTATCAGTTTTATGCATTGCCCGGGAATCTAACCCATGCTCTTGACTTTGTCTGAGCTACAGGAATCAACAGCACCTCAGTTAATGAAATGTTTTATCCGAGTCGTGCGTCTGGCCCGGAACTGTGTGTGATGAAAGACTGCGCCGCAAAATAATGAGAAAATGATAAACAGACAACACAGATTTATATTGTCAACCTCTCTCGCCGCACGCAACAACAAATACACAACCCACTGTATAAAAGGATTTTTCAAAGTTGGAAATATAGATTATTGGAGTTTGTTTTTAGTGAAAAAGAGCATCTGCTGTTGTCTCTCACATCAAAATCCAGCCACATATTAGTTTAGAGCTGTTTAAACGCTGCTTGATCTGTGCAGATTTCTCTCCTGATTCACACCAGAACACTTTTTCACTGGAGGAAGCGTGATTATGGACAAATGAAAAACATCTTAATGCTGGATTAGTTTCAGCTTTTGTCTTCTCCAGATGTTAACTGATGGACTGGAGTGCTGTGGATTACTTGTGATGTTTTTATCAGCTGTTTGGACTCTCATTCTGACGGCACCCATTCATTTACTAGTTGCCATATCAACACTATAAAAAAAAGTGCGCCAAAATTCAAAAACCTTTTGAAGATATCACTTAGTATTTATTTTTACCAAAGTAAAAGTACATTTCTACTCCTCTCTCTCAGTTTTTAGCATTCATTTAAAATAAGACAAATCTGCTATTATTTTATTTACGCCAGCATGGTTACGTGTTCATCGTCAAACAATAAATGTGATTATTTTTAATTCTTAAAAAAACGCCATTATTTTATTTGAAAAAGTTAATCATTTTATTTTATTGACAAAATATTTCAGTTTGTCTTGTATATATATTTTTTTCATTGGATCAGATAACATTTTAAGCTGTGTTATGGTCATGTTACAATGTACCCCACCTACGGGGCTTGCTGTCACATTTCACTTCCATTCTTTTGAGGTAAATACCGAAAAACATATACACTGTAATTATGAAACAAAGTGACATATTTGTACTAGACAAGTGTGACATTAATGTGGATAAAAAATTATACTCTGAACCCCTCGATGATTTACACAAACGGAGAAATTCAAAGTGTTAGGTTGTGCCCCGCGCTCCCCTACACATTTTACAAGTTAGACTTTTTCCAAACTATAATTCCTGACTACATATATAATCAAGTGACACATTATCTTAATGTCTCACAACGCTAGGATGTTTTTTAACACTTGTGTTTATGACTATAAAATCCCACAGAACAGTTATTTATCCAGCCACAGGGTAATAAGAATCAATTCCACTCATTGTAACCACTAATTGGATTCATTACTGTTGGGCTAATTACTAATTGGACTAGTGCTGCTTAACACAGAGGTCAGTGTGCAGAGAAGCAGCTGCGTTTCATTGAAAACAATTAATCATTATCATGACGTTTGGTTCCATTAAAGGTTCTCGAGTGTCTGCATTCATCCGGTGATGTGTAGTAAAATACAGCAGCACTACTGAATCTACATTTTGCGACTTGCATTGCATTGAAGATACACGTTTTATCAGTTTTATGCATTGCCCGGGAATCTAACCCATGCTGTTGACTTTGTCTGAGCTACAGGAATCAACAGCACCTCAGTTAATGAAATGTTTTATCCGAGTCGTGCGTCTGGCCCGGAACTGTGTGTGATGAAAGACTGCGCCGCAAAATAATGAGAAAATGATAAACAGACAACACAGATTTATATTGTCAACCTCTCTCGCCGCACGCAACAACAAATACACAACCCACTGTATAAAAGGATTTTTCAAAGTTGGAAATATAGATTATTGGAGTTTGTTTTTAGTGAAAAAGAGCATCTGCTGTTGTCTCTCACATCAAAATCCAGCCACATATTAGTTTAGAGCTGTTTAAACGCTGCTTGATCTGTGCAGATTTCTCTCCTGATTCACACCAGAACACTTTTTCACTGGAGGAAGCGTGATTATGGACAAATGAAAAACATCTTAATGCTGGATTAGTTTCAGCTTTTGTCTTCTCCAGATGTTAACTGATGGACTGGAGTGCTGTGGATTACTTGTGATGTTTTTATCAGCTGTTTGGACTCTCATTCTGACGGCACCCATTCACTGCAGAGCATCCATTGCTGAGACACTGATGCAATGCTGCATTTCTCTAAAAATTCTCCAAATTTTCTTGGCCTTGGCCCGAGGCTGAGCACATTTTCAGCATGCTCATTTCTGAGTGAACTTCTCTAAAGTCAATACATACTAGAGTCATTAGAAAGCACGTGTTTACTGACGCAGTTCTGCTCATCTCTTGGTGATTTCAGCTCTGTTCTTTGCTCTAGTACCGTATGAAGACATGAACATGTCCAAGACTTTCGCTCTAATCGAATCGTGACCTGTCTGTTTCTTTCTCAGCTATATCTCTTCTCCTGCTCTCCATATTTTCCACATGCTCAGTCCTGGAAGTGTCACATCTCGTGTCCGAATGGAGTGCGGTCTTGTAATTGGAAATTTCAAATCTTCCACAGCAGGCTGAAGTAACAAACCAATTTCCCCGCTGAACGCCGAGAAGAGTCACTCAAGACGGCCGTCAACGACTGTCTATCTAAATGCAAATGCAGGTGATTATTCCAAGAGCTCCGACACCAAACGAGGTTATTCCGTTCACTACAACTGGAAATGGGCTTGTTTGAAATTCCCCTCAGGACACGGGAAGTGACCACAATCCTGGGAAATAATTCAATGATAGTCCAGCAGCGATGGAAGGTATCTCATCCACATCAATCTGAGTTTATGTAACCAGCTGCGACAAGCAATGAGTGAAATTACATTTGTTGGTCACTGGTTTGTATTTCAGAAAGTTGATCCGTCCACACTGAAAACTCATCTGAGCAAAGTATATTTGTCATCAAATACAGACGAGGAGAGATTGATCGTGCAAGCTGAGAAATGCCAAGCATCACAATGATGCTGCCTGGAGAAACGTCTCAGGAAAACTATGTGCATTTAGTTTTAAGATCTATTCAGACTTATTGAAATAAATTGGAGACCAATGGTCCATTCACACTAAGAGTGAAACTAAATACTCTCCTGTTCAGTGGTTGGTGCTTATTTAAAACATTTATTAATTAATTAAAAAATTAAAAATAAAAAACACTTGTATTTTTTGTCTTATTCATTCATTTTGCCTGTCTTAATGCAAAACTGTGTTTTTATTGGAATTTAGTGACTTCTGTTGTTAAAATGATTTATTTTTTAATTATTTTGAAAATTTGGATGATTTTATTATTCGGTTAAACAACTTTTGACATCAACAACACGATTTGGGAACTGTTTTGTCCCTTTTAAGAGCTCATGATTAGAACTATAAATGATTTTTAGTTAGTTAGTTGTATTTTATTATTTGCTTTTAGCAATTCACCACTGATAAACTGCTGATTAAAACTTTAATTTTCGGTGAAGATGCTTTGCGGCGATTTGTATCGTGAAAAGCGCTATGCAAATAAACGTGAAATGAATTGAACTGAGTTAACGTGACTTGTTTTCGCTGCTGTCGGAGACCCATTAGAAGAGACTAGTAGAGAGCTGCTGGTTTGGGTTATGTTGACCACAGTTTGTGCATTAATCGAGCAGACTGGGATGATTTAGATAGGTTTCGTAATAGTATACTATAGTAATTTATAGTGAATACCATAGTGTTTGAATCCTATCTCACTGGTAGGTCTTTCGGGGAGGCGAGGTATCCAAAGCACATCAACTGGTCACTGGGGTTCCTCAGGGCTCAGTTCTAGGACCGCTCCTATTCTCCATATACACTACATCACTGGGTCCCATCATACAGGCACATGGCTTCAAAACTTTGTCTTTCTCTTTATTTATTCCTTTCCTTTCTAGCTTGTACGTATTTGAACAATGCCTGAAACTTGGTATTGTGAGCACTTCCTCTGACTGTTTGCCTCGTTAAGAAGAATCGCTTCATGTATTCCCCAATTGTAAGTCGCTTTGGAAAAAAAGTGTCTGCAAAATGACTAAATGTTTTTGAACCATACTATAGTAAAGTACTTGAATTAATTTGTTGTGGTAATTCTATAATATTACAACTATAGTAATATAAACTAATGACTTTACCCAATAATGTACTATGTTTTCTACAACTATAGGGTATATTATACTACAGATTACTGTAGTAAAATCTAAAGTATACTATAGTATTTATCAGTTCACTATAGTTAATACTACAGTATGCTGTAGCATTCATTAACAACGTGTTATAAATACTGTAATATATACAGTATAACACACTTTACTATAGTATGGTTCAAAAACACTATTTACTATAAATGTGGGTTAAATATGTACTTCTAAGTTAATATTTCAACAATTTAACAACACATTTGCATGCCATGCAAGTTAAAAAAAAAACTTTAATCAATTGTTTAATTTTGAGTTTTAAAATTGACCATTTTTATGATTTAATTTATCCCGTTTTCATAAACTCACGAAGCGATTTTTATGGAAATAATCTAGTTTCAACATTATTTAATGATATATTAAACCATAATTAATTTTGTGATTCTAAAAGTTTCAGGAATTTTACTGTATGTTCTTCAATAAAAACAATAGCTATTGAGGGGGAAAATAATTATGATTCAGTTTACGTTTTTTTGGCATTGCAATTTAGCGTTTAATATATGAATATTTAATATCTGAACAATTAAAATACTTCATATTTATATATATAAAAATAATTTGTAATATAATTCAATTAAGTAGCTGAATTCTACTCATTCTTGTTATATTTATAAAATGTGTCCTTTAGTGTGTATATATATATATATATATATACTAAAGCCAGATCATTTGTTAGTCACAGAGAACGCAAGAAATACAATTTGCAGAAAAATACAAGTTTATTTGGTTAAAACATCACCCGAAATAACACTGTTTAAATACATGAGTATAAAATGTGGAAAATACAATAATGCAATAAGGTAAACATATTTGTGGTAAACTACTATAGTATATTTCTGATTAATGTTTTTAGCCCCCCACAACCATAAAACTCAAGTCCCCAGCAGAATAATCATACGCTTACCAGTAAAAATAGTAGATTAACATGTTCTCAAACGAGCATATTGTGAGATAAACATCTGCATCGTGCTCATAAGAAATGATTTGTTTTTAGGCCCCAAAGTGAAGTGGTGTGCTGTTCTTCAAAGGTGTCCGTGATTCAGTACCGTAATGCTGGTGCGATGTCGATGTAGAACACGGCTGTGTGTTTCTGCCTCGCCTTCACATGAACCCAGAGCTGAAGAACGACAAACATCAGCTGTGAGAACACAAACAGCGACACGATCAGCACAAACTCCCAGAATCACGCATTTACTAATCATCTGTGATTTCTGACAGTTTTATACCACGAATATGTAAATATTAAGCAGGATCCATTAGAATCTGATCAGGATTTTTACAGATGATACGATTAGCTATTTATTGTCAGCTTGTTCAATTTGTTCATCCGAATTAAAAAAAATAATAATAATTATCAAGAGCTCCAATAAAAATGACAGAAGTACTGTAAGTTGGTTAACGGATAAGCAAATAAATTGGGCAAAACATATTAGTTTTAAAATATGCCTTGCACAAAAATTATGCATTTTAAGAGGCTTATGAGGATTAAGCTTTATGCCAAACTGATAATCACCACTGAGGAAATTAATTATTATTATTTATAATTGTATTGTTTATATTTTACCAGTTTATCGTATTTTTAATTTATAATAAATTACATTTAATATTTAATTATATTTTATTGATTAAATATTGCATTTTTATTTATAATAAATATTACAATATTTAATTTTCATTTATAATAAATAGGTTGCCCTAATTCTCTTTATGAATTTATTATGAATACAAAATTATGTATTTTAAGATTGAGGCTTATGAGGACAAAGCTTAATCATCCCAACTGAGGAAATGTATTATCATAATTTTAATTTAAACCATAATTAATTTTATGGTTAATATTTTACTCACCAGTTTATCGTATATTTAATTATATTTATAATAAATTCAATTTAATATATAATAACATTTTATTTATTAAATATTGCATTTTTATTTATAATAAACATTATAATATTTAATTTTTATTTATAATAAACTACATTCCCTTCATTTTCATTTTGCTGGAAGTTGTCAATATAATTGACAGACATGTAAATACTGAGCAGGATCTAGAGACGATACCAATCAACTATTTCTTGTCATCTCTGATAAACAACACAAACGTTTCATATGCTGATTGGTTAACTGTTAAAAGACATTAAAATATTAGTATTAGTAAAATTTGCATGCCTATATTTTTATATATCATTATATATAATTCTATTGTTTATATTGTACTCACCAGTTTATTATCCTCTCTAAATATGTGATATTTAATTTGCATTCATTATAACTTCCGACCCCTGCTTTCTCACTTTGTTAACACTGGTGATAGACAGTAAGCGGCCCTGTCTGCTGCTGTGTGCAGTGTTTGGGAGGAACTCACTTCTTGCGGTCTTTGTCCTTCTTGTTGTTGGAGCTGGTGTTGAAGGCCTGCGCCTGCAGGAGCTCGCTGGCAGCTCTGCGCTTGCTGAAGATGCTCATCTCCTCCTCCAGACTCCGGCGCTTCTCCTCCAGCTTGCTCTTCTCCTCCGCATGCATTCGCTTCAGCTGCTCGAACTTGCCCTGCAGCTGGAGCACACACACACACACACACACACAGAGTTTACTGTACACACACACACACGCACACATGCATGCAGACAGCTGAGAAGACGGCATGGTATACATGCAAGATATTTGCTTTACATGCTCGCTTGTAGTCTTATTACCTTATATGGGTCAAAGTCGAAAAGGGTTTAAGCATAAAAACAATAAGTGTAATACTGCTTTAAATTGTTGTTCTTTCCCCCCCAATTTTTAAAAAAGTTTTCAGTTTAAATTAAATGCAATTTTGTTTTTCGGAGCAAAAAAGAAATGATACATTTTCCCCTGATTTACAGAAGAGAGCCACTTCTTGTCAGGCATATTTACAACAAACAAAAATCAATTTATGACATCTTAAACAACTAATTACTTTCACCCCAGATACTAATTAGTTGTAATTTTAATTTTTTGAAATGTGCCACTATCCTAGGTTTCGCCCATTTGTCAGTAAGAATGTTTTACTCATTTAAAACACAATAAAATGTAATATGCTCACTTATTCTTTTATATATTTTAATATGTACACGTCAGAATAAGCATGTTTGAATGTTTACATAACTATACGTGTTACACTGAATGACAATGTAACACTATTTCAACCAAATTGTAACTTTTCTCCAAAAACGTATTTGAAACCTTAAAAGTAGACACTTTACTTAATGTGCTTTCTATGGACATATAATCACTTCTGTAAATTTATTTTGATGCGGACATCTTAACGTCTTTGACCCATGTGTCTGAGAAACTAATATTTCACCAAAAATCTTGTTGCAACATTTTACAAAAATCAAGATTGAATATATTTGGTCGAAATCCCATGTTATAAAAGATGATGCTATTAAAGACAATACTAACTGATTAAAATGCTAAATGTTTGCCCTCGTTGCTCACAGCAACCCGTCAAAATAAAAGCGTGATTTAACTTGAACAAATTGTGACAGAAATAAATTAATATTTTACAGCAGGCCTAAAATGTACGTCTTAATGTAACTACTCCTACTATTATTATTAATAATACATTGATTACAACATTTGTATCTTACAATTAACCTTTTAAATAAAACTTTAAAGCTTTATTTCCTAAAGAATAATCACACATCGTTCTTACGTGTTTTAATCTGAACAGTAAACCTCTGTTGTGCAGCACACACACAAAAAGGGTTTGTTTAATTTTCATTTAATTAAAAGAATTAGTTTATATGAATTTGATTGATTAGACATGCTTTTTGATTATTAAAATTTTATTAAGATTTAATTTAAAATGTAATCCAGAAAAATTAAAACGGAAAAAACAGAATTTGGTAAAAAATGAGATTTGAGGAAAAAACTAGACTGAATTCATAGGGCCCTAAAAATGTATTTTATGTTACACCTTTATTAAACAGTTGTTAAATTGTATAGGGTTCACGATTTTAATTAATTAGGCATGCTTTTGGATTATTTTAACCATTTAAAAGGAGTCCAGAGAAATTAAAACAAAAAATGGAATCCATAAAAATTTAAATGTGGAAAAAAAACCCTACCTCTCGCTCTGCGTCCTTCAGCTCGGCCTCTTTCTCTTTGACTCTCTGCACAAACGTCTGTCGCATCTCCTCCTCTCGTCTCTGCAGCTCGCCCACAAACTCCTGCCGCTTCTCCTCGTACGTCTGCTGAAGACTGTTCAACAGCACCATCAGATGCAGATCAGTTTCTGCTTATTAACCTCAGGGGGGTTCAGTTCTCTAATAGCCTCGTCTTCAGTCAGGCTTCATGAGACGCCGCATCAGAGAAACATTCAATAACACACCTCAATTTCACAAAATTGCCCCTTGTGACTGGTTTTGTGCTCCAGGGTCACACATTAAGACTTCATGGCTTTAAATGCGGTCAGACTGCATGCTTCAGACTCTCCTTCTGAAGGATCTGAAGGGTCTCGTTATTAGCCGAGATTCCATTCTTTCTCTGTTTTGAGAAGCCGAGCAGAAATCTGAGGAATGTCTGTGTGAGCGAGGTTAAGTAAACAGTTCCCATGCTCCCGTCTCCAGAGCAGCTAACGAGCAGCTGTGCTTAACGAGCTCTCACCTGACGGGCTTGCACTCGGGGTCGGTGTCTCTGAAGCCCATCTCCTCCAGCTTGCAGCGTCTGTAGAGCTCGTAGTGCCGCGTGTGCGTCTGCTCGCGCAGATCCTCCATGTTCACGCAGATCAGCATCTCGCGCAGCTTCACGAAGTCGCAGTGGTTCTCGTTCTCCACTGAAACACACAAACACACCCGAGACCTGTTTGAGACCAGGTCTAGCAAACCTAACCCCATACTCTATTCGATTATTTCCTTCATTTGCTACAAGTTAACTGAAAAAAGTCAAAGTAACAAAAATAAACATAAGAATAACATAAGTTCAAAGTAACAATAAAAAGTAACAAAAATAAACATAAGAATAACATAAGTTCAAAGTAACAATAAAAAACTAAAACTACATACAATTGTAAAATAAAAATGTATTAATTAAAAAGTAAAAAGTAGGACGTTTCAACAGATCTCAATTTGTTTTTAATTTATTTGACAAAAAAAGTAAATACATTTAAAAAATCTTGAATATCTTTGCTCACAAACACTAATATATATATATATATATGTGCACTCACTACCGCTCAAAGGTTTGGGATCAGTAAGACTTGTAATGTTTTTATTAAAAGAAGTTCTGCTCATCACGGCTGCATTTATTTGATCACAAATGAAGAATAAAAATGTAAAACTTCTGAACGGTAGCGTATATTGTTAGACAAGATTTCTGTTTTAAATAAATGCTCTTTTTTTTAGAATAAGAAACAAATAAAGCAACATTTTGAGAAAATCGCATTTTTATCAAATCCTAATAAATCTGGATCATATTCAGTAATATTACCAAAGCAGCGCTGCAGTAGATGGCGTACTCCCAAAGCTTGCACACTTTCTGCATCCACACGTCACTCGCTAACATCAGGCGGTTTTCATTTATGCGCGGTTAGTGTTGACGATCGCATTATTTTTCACGAGATCGCTGGTTTCTGCGTCTTCCTCGCCTGTGTTTTTGATCGAGGGATTCTAGACTCATTCAGATGTGTAATAGCGCCCCCTAGCGTACAACAGCGAGAACACGGAAAGTTCTGTGTTTGGCAGGGAAAGAGTTAAACGTAGCCTGCTTATATAATTTAATAAAAATACGCAAAATAAATTTGATACAATCGTGATTAGAGTTGGGTACCGAACTCGGTACTTTTAAGGGTACCGACTGAATTGCGTCGGTACTACCGAGTACCGATTCACGTTAAATCAATCGGTGCCATATTTCGGTAGCTGAGAACGCATCTGGGCGCATACGCTACAGAGAGACTCGTTCAGACAACACACAGGGCGAGCCGAAATGTTCTGAAGTGTGGTTACACTTCTAGGGCCGTATTGTTTTTGCGAAAACTGAAGTCCATTCATAAAAACGTAATTTACTCTATAGCGCGGAAATGCCACGGAATTCGTCAATTTTGGACGAATAAATCAAAAGTAGGTCTGCCACTTAATTCGAATCGCGATATGAACTAGTTGTGGAGTGTAAAGCTAATGGTTTTATTTGTGATGACGCAACAAATCCTGCCGATTGTGCGGCACAATTTCATGCAAAGCCTGCACTCGTTATTCCCAGCCTATCATTCCTGAATCCAAGCTGATGAAAGACTCTCAGGTTGGGAATAAATTAGGTAGACACGCACGTAAAGCCCAGAGAATGGCTGCTGTAATCAAACACAAGAGAATCAGTTGAATATTAATAACCGATTATATATTGTAGTCGGCGCATGCTTTATTTCCTGAGCTTTGCGTAGCAAAATAAAACCCATATTCTGTGATAAGTTAAATGCCATAATCAGGGTTATTAGAGTTGTACAAAACCGAAAATCAAAACACATTTGACACCTGAAATAAAATTAACATTACGCTAATAAACACATTTCAACTAGTTGCCACGCCAACACTTCTCATTTTCATTCATGCGCTAAAATAATGTAAATCTGAAACTAAAATTTTATTTTGATACCCGAAATAAGATAAATGTTAACTTAAATAGAATTGTTTTTTTTTCAGAAAAATGAGCGTAGAGCCCTGACTAGCACTCAAAAGGTTTTGAACGGTAAGATTTGTAATGTTTTTAAAGAAGTCTCTTGCATTTATTTGATGCAAAGTACAGCAAAAACAGTAAAAGCTGTTTTTAAAATGCGATTTATTCCTGCGATTTCAAAGCATCAGTCCTCCAGTCGCGTTGATCCTTCAGAAATCATTCTAATACTCGGATTTGCTGCTCAAAACACATTATTATTATTATTATTGTTATTGTTGAAAACAGCCGAGTAGAATTAGTTCAGGTTTCTTTTGATGAATAGAACGTTCAGAAGAACAGCATTTATATGAAATCTTTTGTAACATTATAAATCTCTCTCTCGTCGCTTTTGATCAACTTAAAGCATACTTGCTAAATAGAAGTATTCATTTTTATAATTTCTTTCCCAAAAAATATGAATTATTAATTATACGGACACCAAGCGTTTGAATGGTATAGTCAGTGTATAATGTTTTATTTCAGATCAATCTTTGGATCTTTCTATTCATCAAAGAATCCTGAAAAAATGTACTCAACTGTTTTAAGCATTGACGATAATAATAATAATCAGAAATGTTTCTCGAGCAGCATATTATACTGATTTCTGAAGATCATGTGACACTGAAGACTGGAGGAATGATGCTGAAAATACAGCTGCACATCACAGAAATACATTACAGTTTAACAGAGATTCACAGAGAAAACAGCTGGTTTAAATAGTAAAAATATTTCACAATTTTACTGTATTTCGGATCAAATAAATGCAGGCTTAGAAGAGACTTCTTTAAAGAAAACATTAAAAATCTTACCGTTCAAAAACGTTTGACTGCTAGTGTATAATCAACTTTTTAGACTAAAAACGCAACTTCCAACGGATTTCTATTGCTTTTAAATCAATTTTCCCAAAACAATAGCTTGAGGTTTGAACGTCTCTGCTCCCGAACACTAGAATATAGAAATAACTTTTATTGCATCTTCTGATCACGCTGCATGCCAACAGTTCTTCCTCAGTATTTGTCTTGTCTTCCAGTGCAGACGTCTAACGCTTATTAAACCGAGATACTTGAGATGCAAAACGAACGCATGAAGAAATCGATCAAAATGAAGTGAGTTTATGATTAAAACAAGAACACATATCTGCAAATAGGTTCCGAAAAATCTACTTAATTCAAAGAGAAACAGATATTTGTTCTCGTTTTGATCATAAACTCACTTATTTGTGTTCGATTTCCCACGAAACGAGATTTAATTTGCTTCTCCATATGATTTAATGAGCATATTTGCTTCTCCAGTAAGCATGTTTAGATATTTATAGTAGAAAACAAAACAATACTGAGGAATATATTCATTTTTTTAACTGTAATGTCATGACTTTATGAATTAAAAAAATGTTGACCTGATTTAAGACCTTAGTTTTCTATAATTTAGACTTTTTAGGACCTTTGCAATATTAATATTATATTGAATAACCCGCTTAAAAAAAACACATCTCCTTCATCTTTAGTTGACCCTCTAACTCTAGCACTCTCTATTCTAATTCTATTTTATCTATTCGTTTTCTTTTTTTATTAAAAACAAACACTTCACTCTTCAAGGCATGCACTGTATTTGTTTTCTTCTTTAAAAAAGGCCTCTAACACTAGCTTTTTCTATTCTATCCATGTTTCCTTTTTATTTATTATATAATTGTCACAGCACTTGCGTATCATTGCTCTTTTGTTGATTTGGATTGCTTCCGTTGTCCTCGTTTGTAAGTCGCTTCGGATAAAAACATCTGCTTAATGACTAAATGTGACCCTGGTGGTCATGAGGGTCAATTTTGTGAAATAAATCATCTCTCCATTGATGTATGGTTTGTTAGAATCAGACAATATTTGAAAATCTGGAATCTGAGGGTGCAAAAAAATCTAAATATTGAGAAAATCATCTTTAAAGTTGTTCAAATGAAGTTCTTAGCAATGCATATTACTAATCAAACATTAAGTCGTTTCACTCAATCTCCTCACGTCTTCTGTCTCTGATTGAGAGTTTAGAGTGTTTAATCCAGTAAAAGCTCTTGTAGAAACTCTTCTCGTGTCAAATCTGGATTGGTTTTGATCAAGTAAGCGTCAGAATAATATCTCCAGATGAACACTTACTGCACTGAAGCAGCTCAGCTTTACTTGATTCTCCATCAATCATGTTTTAGAGTCTCAAATCTGATCCTCAGGATCTTTTGAGGAGCGTTTGTTTCCAGAAGCTTTACTTTCACTGTTCCTCAGCGGAGGAATGATCTTCACAAGCCTCCAGAACATCTCACATCTTCTGAGGAGCCTTTATTTCTTCAGCTCTCAATCA